TGACGGTGCCTGCTTCTCGCTCTCTCTCTCTCTCTCTCTCTCTCTCTCTCTCTCTCTCTCTCACTCTCTCTCTCTGCACGTTTCACCATTTCTCCTATGCTGTTAGCCCGGGCGCATCCGACATTTCGCAACGCGAGTGGCATTTTCGCGAATCGCGCGGGCTCTATTTTCACGGCGACGACGCAACGACGACGTGTTCGTCAGCCGAACGTTCAGCTCGCTCGTTCAATGGCAGCGGCAGTCAACACGCGAGTGAGAGTAATCTATCACGTAACGTGAGCGGGCGTTTTGCAATGTCCCGACAGCTGCGGCAAACTACGTACGCCGTGAAATATCTGTCTCTCGGCATGGGAAAACGCGTCAGAGCTGCTGAGACTAGAGCTAAACCAGAGTTCCTCAAGCGAGGCTTGGGACACTGGCTGATCCGCGACGGAGAAGAAGCGAATGATGACGCGAGAGAGAAGTTAGAGGCTATTTTGTCATTTCAGTAGTAATAGCTTCTCTCTCTCTCTCTCACTTCCACTCGATTCTTTATCATCACACACAGCGGATCGGCGAATCGCATTGGTTAAGGATTGCGACCAGCGACGATCAACTCTTGCCTGAGAAATTCTAGTTACGGCGAAAAAGAAGAGCCGCGAAACTCGCGGGACGCTCGCAGACTCGAGCGCACGCATTAGATAGAGACGTTATTGGTCGGACGAGCCGGATTGGTTGGAAATGGTAGATTGCTACTTGCAGCGCGTCTTCTCTTTCCTCGGCAGATACGTTCCAGTGACGTTTTTATTCTAATCACACAAGGTGTCGTAATAAAAATAATATCTCGCTGGAGAGCTCGTTACAATCGCGTAGCTATGCATGAAAGAACTGACAAAATTACCGTACCGTCGCGACGCGCCCCCTTGAAGCTGCTCACTCGCTGGAAATAGCGGCTTGGTTACAGGCCTCTGAGTCATAAGTGTCAAGCCAAGGATTAGCCCCGGAGAAACGTTTTCGTACACGTCACGTCCTCGGAAATTCGCCGGCCAGGAAATCGCGAGGGCGAGAAACCGCCGAGCTACGTGCACGTACGGCGCTTTGATGTTCCTGGCGGAATAACGTAAGCTCGCGACACAAAGGCGCGAGAGAGAGAGAGAGAGAGAGAGAGAGAGAGAGAGAGAGAGAGAGAGAGAGAGAGAGAGAGAGAGAGAGAGAGAGAGAGAGAGAGAGAGAGAGAGAGAGAGAGAGAGAGAGAGAGAGAGAGAGAGAGAGAGAGAGAGAGAGAGAGGAGGAGGACGGCAGGGGGCGAAGGACTCGGCCTCACAAGGAACAACGCTTCGCGAAGAAGCGTTCTCGCGCAGGAAATCGCTCGCGAACGAGAGAAGCGCACGCGCACGCTCTCTAACCGCGGCATGTGGCGATGGCAGATACAAATTTTCGGGGCTATCGCTTAAATATTTCGCAGCGCGCTCAAATTGCGAGCGAGGTGCGTCGCTGTCAGCCGGAAACATTAACCCGCATTATCTCGGGCCGCAGGAGTTTGCGTTTGAACGAACATTATCATTAATAATGCGTATCGAACAATAATTCGCGCCGACACGTCGGATTTCAATAAGGTGTTACAGTCCCTTGTTGCGTTACGCGACGTTGGAGATCACCGCCTTCATCTACAATTAAGCACGCGGGGACGCGGGAGCGACCACGCGCGCGTCTGCTGAAAGATGAAGTGGATCAAGACGTTCCCCGTCGGGCGTGTTAAACGGCGACGCTTTTGACGCGTCTGAGTTATTTGTCGAGATTCGAGATTTTTAGCGTTTGTATAATTTATACGATATTATTTATCAGTCCACTCATTACCACGGCATTTGCATGTATCTAGGAAAAAATTCCCTTTCCTTCTTTCGAGGTAGAAAAAACAAGAGATCCCGACTTTTCCGACGACGACGACGACGACGACGACGACGACGACGACGACGGAAGTAAAGCAACGCTCGGGACTCGGAATTTCTGGTAATGAGATGGCAAAGAGGGTCGCCCGTAACGGGGAAATAAATGCTAATGGTCAGCTTGTGCGGCGCGCATGTCGGGGAACATGTCGCGCTCTAACGATAGCTGGAGGCTCGCGCTCGTTGATAAGAACAGCGCGCGCTCTGCCGTGCTCGGCTTTACGCGCGAAATAAAGATAAGCGACGCGATGCGTCTCGGCGGCCGCTCGTCGCCGTTACCGTTTTCTCTCTCCGCCTATAAGCGCGGCTCGTGAGTTCGCAGCATTGCATTTTGAAACAATCGCGATCGTTAAGGGAACGCGGCGCTAAATGTACCGTGCGCGCAATGATACGTCGCGAAACCATCTGGAACGAGAGAGATGGATCTTCCTTCCCCCCCTCGCTAACCCTTTATGCTTCTCCATCGCATTCTGCTGGCTTTTATTAGCGTGTAACTTCCAGATTACGGCGCCGCGCGCGTGTTACCCGCTTCGTCATCCGCGCTTCTCTCCGGCCGGTCTTTCTTTTCTTTTCATAAATCGACCCACGCCGAGAAAATTGATTAGTTCGCGTAAAAACCACACGGTTGCGACACAGAGAACCGTGCGCGCACAAGCCTCTTACGATCGCGCAAACAGCGGCGCTCGTCGGCGGCGTCGAAACTGCGCGTAATCGATATGCGGTTAATAACAAATTCAGTCGCAACGCTCAGCAAAATAAAAGCCAGCCAGTGAGCGAGCGATCGAGCGTGAGCGCGTTTACTTTTCGCGATGAAAAGTACCGCGCGAAACATTCCCTCTCCCCCCACACCGAGCGCCCCCTTTTCACTCTTTCTCGATGACGGTAGTATTTTCGCGCTCGTCCCCGCGGAACGTTCCGCGGCGCGCAAATATTGCCGCGATCCTTCATCCGCTCGGCGCGCGACGTTTACGCGCGTTCGAAGGCAAACAGATCGAGCGGGGCAAAGCGGGATTAGATTTCCGACGTCGCGTGGCCTCGATTCTCCCTCTCTCTCTCTCTCTCTCTCCTTCTCTCTCTCTCTCTCTCTTTCTCTTCTGCCGCAATCGAGGAGCACCTTAGGGCCAGTCGGTGCTTTCGCAGCGTGAATTCTCCTGCCGGCGCTGAGCCGGCGTCTTGTTCGACGCGCGCGAGTCGTCCTTTCAAGCGCCGCTGCGCGCACCCTTGCGTGCACTCCCTTGCGACATCGTCACCGACCAGTCTGACGATATACAAATACATTCGTCACTGTCGCGCTGCGGCAGTCTTATTTTACAGTCGCAAAGACGACCAGCCGCCAGGTGAAGGAGGAGGCAAACAGAAGAGCGATCGAAGCGGGCTCGATCGAGGCTTTGCCGACGGGAGCGTTGCGTTATCATATCCTCCCCTCTCGGTTTTCCTCTCCTTCCTGCCATCTTGGCTTCGTAGTCGTTGTCGAAACGCGTGAGCGGTCATGTAGCGACGCGCGATTTCTCCCGCGCTGTAAATCGCTTCGTGGAGCAATAACGAGCACCGGGGAACAACTTACGCAAGATCGCTGCGCGGTCGATGCGACGACGCGACGTTGGCTCCCCCCTCTCTCTCTCTCTCTCTCTCTCTCTCTCTCTCTCTCTCTCTCTCTCTCTTTTTTTCGTCGGTCGCGCTTGAAAATGCATAGAGAGAGAGAGAGAGAGAGAGAGAGAGAGTGGGAGCTTAACGAGATTTTTCCGGGGTCTCTTCTTTTATCCTCGTTCAGCGCTCAGCCCCGCCGCCGCCCGTCGCTGCCGGCTGTCCCGGGGCCGACGCGAGACGGAAACAGAGCTCCAGCCGAAAATGTAGATGCGCGCTCGCGTTCTCCGTGAAAGTTTCATTCATTAAGCCATCGTGCGTTCTTTGATCAACGTCGCGCGCGCGCCTCGCGCGAGATGGAAAACGCGCGCGCGCGCGCGCGGGGGCGTACCGGAGTCGGCTTAATAAAGGCTGGTATTGACGCATTAGATCAGTTTAATGCGCCGGCCGTGTATGAGAGACGGAAAACACGGCGGGGCGCCGGCTAACCGGCGTTGCCGCGTTGTTGCTGCGCAATACGCAAAACATCGACGCCAATATTTGTTATTGCGTTAAAATGATTGATTCGCGTCGTGTGATTATACGTCCGGCCGGAATTGCCATCTATGTTTAATGCGCCAAAGAGGCGCGCACGCACGCACGCACGCACGCACGCACGCACGCACGCACGCACGCAACCGGATCCCCCCACGTCAAATTTACAAAATTACGAAATTCGCATCGGCCACAGGAGCTATGACTCCATGATTTCATAAAGTGAAATGCGCACATGCAGCAGCGGCGTATATATCATGATAATTAACACCGTAAACGGAAAATTGCAAGAATAATAGCAGAGAAAGAGAAAGAGAGATAAATAGAATGAGAGAACGAAGGGGGCGGGGGAGGGAAAGAGCGAGAGGGAGGGGGGGCGGGAGACTCCGCGGCCGAGGTGGTGATCGGATACGAGGGAATGTGATACGTATAATTGCTGCCCGCGCGTGCACGCGCGCGCGTATCGCCAGCAGACCGAAATAAAATCCAACGTAGCAAGCCGCGTCGCGCGTATTCCATCTTCTTATTCCTCCCGCGCGCACGATCTCCAACGTTTACCGTGAAAGATTTCCAGAGAGAAATAATACGAAATTAACGCGGCGGGAAACGAGCTAAATTCCCTCGTAATTTTTGCCGGAGCAGCAAGATTATAGGAGTAAAGCTCGCGCATATTAAACCGAATGCCGCCGCACCGAGCGCGCGCGCGCGCGCGCGCGCCGGCAGCAGCCCGCCCGGCCGGGCGGAAGTCGAGATGTATCGTGACGTTAATTAAGACGGATGTGTGCCTGCGAGATATTAGGACCTCTTCCCATATCCTTTACGAGCTACATCGTTTCCCGGGGAAAGAGCCTTTCGGAGCCGAACGCGGCGACGGTGGCGACGGTGACGATGGTGGGGAGAGGAGAGGGTGGATAAAATGTGGATAAAACGACGGGTATACATTGCTTTATGGCTTACCATCGTCAGGGACGCGCCCGTCCCGCGAGCGTACTGGAATTCCTGGACACTCACCTGCAAGCAGAAAGAGAAACAATGACATTAAGCACTTTCGCGAGGATCGTAAAAATTGGCGGCGGCGGCGACGGCGGCGGCGGTCGGAGAGCTTTCGTCTAGCTATCGCGCGAAATCACCGTAATAAAAATGTCGACGTGCTCGAGTGTGTCGGATAGCGGCAAGGTTTCTAAATCCGCACCTCCCTTTCGGACGTTGGAATCTCTGCGCGGAGGTGTGCGAGTAGATAAGCACGAGAGAGAGAGAGAGAGAGAGAGAGAGAGATAAGCGATTCGAGGTTCACCGGCGTTTCGCAAGTTGTAGATAAGACTCGAGCGTTCGATCTCTCGCAACTAGCGATGGGATTTTATTTGTGAGAAGAAACCGCGATGGATTATCACAAAATAAGATCAACCTCGCACGCGCGCGCGCGCGCGATATCAAGAGGGAGGAGGAGACAGGGAGAGAGAAAGAGAGACGATACAGCAGAGAAGTGCGCGCGAACGAAGGAGAGACGCGCGGAAAAATGGGCGACGTCGAGAAATCCCCGTTAGACGCGGCACGTGTTTGCGTAAATACCGTGTATGGATCGATAGAGCGTTTTATCGCTCCGGACACGCGATCGTGACGATTGGCTGCCTTTTCTCTCTCTCTCTCTCTCTCTCTCTCTCTCTCTCTCTCTCTCTCTCTCTCTCTCTCTCTCTCTCCTCCATGCGAGCCTTCCTGCGTGCTGTTCCAACGCGAGATCAATAAGGCACACCGACGGGGTATCGGGTACCGCGGTATCGGCCATTCAGCCGGGAAACTCTCTTGCGATGTATATACACGCGCCGCGCGAAATAGAGTGGGTTTCGCAGGAATTTTTAATTAGCACGCATTGCGTGCGCGCTAACGCTAACGCGGCGGTCTCGAGCGACGTCGCCGATCGATAGCGTCTTGTCCCGCGTTCGCTCTCGCTCACGCGAGAACGCGTTGTGCATCGACCGTTCATTAGCGTTAATCTCGATTAACTCCGATACTCTTTTTGCGTATCTACGCTAGCGCTGCGCGGCCTGGCGCAACGAATCGATAATCTACAATTAATTACCGCGTCCCCCCAAAATACGTCGCCGACGCGCAACAGTATTATTACTTCGCGCAACCGGAAGGCCGAGCTCCATCACGCATGGACACGTTTCTCTTCCGCTTCATCCTCGCCCTTGTCCTTTTTCGCGAAACTATCCATCGGCCATCGCGCGCGCGCGCGCGCGCGCGTGATGTCGCGAGGAGAATTCCATTTCCGTCGCGTTAAGGAGTGAGAATCCAACGTCGGATCGGATTCCAGCCGGCGACACATTTTATCCGAGCAGTCTGCTCACCCTCACCCCTCCCAACCCCCTGTCCTATCTCACCGCACGCGCGACGTGGACGAAACTCGATACAGCCCTTCCGGGCACAAGGGCGTCGACGACGTCCTCGCAGGAGATCCGAGCGCGAGCGGCTAGAACGTGAATGACGAAGGAACGGGGTGAAAACGAGGACGAGAAGCAGGAAGAGGAGGAGGAGGAGGAGGAGGAGGAGGAGGAGGAGGAGGAGGAGGAGGAGGAGGAGAAGGATGAGGAAGAGAAGGAGACGCGGATTCAGGCAGAAAACTTGTCAGGTGACGTTGCGACGGGGCAATTTATCTTGTTGTATTAGCAAATGGATGATAATGACGCCCCAAGGAGAAAAGGCGATTCGATCGAATCAACGGAAGCGTCGTGACGGTGGATGGTGTTTCCGCGCGTGGTGTGTGTGCGCTTACGCAGTCGAGGGTGGACGCACGGCGACTTCACACACGCGGGGCGGTACGCGCGTGGACGAGGACGAAGACGTCCTGGCGAAATTAAGCAGCCCGTGCCGAATACAGCCTCAAGTACATATATATATATATATATATATATACGAGAAACACGGAATTCGCGATTCTCCGCGCAGCAAGAGCGGCACGCGAAAGTGTTTCGCGCCTTCTCGATTAGCAGCTCCTCGCGAGGGCTGTTACACATTGATGACAGTGATTCAAAGCGTGCTCGGGATGTTATTACAGCGCGAGTTAGACAAACAAAAGACGACGACGCCCCGGTTAATTGCGCCTCGCGGCAGACACGACGCGCGCAGATTTCTTATTCTCCTCGGTTAGTCTCGCGAGCGGATTTTCGCGGCCGCCGCCGCCGCCGACTCCGACCGCGCGCGCGCGCGCGGATTAATTCTGCGCGCGAGCTTCGACGGAATTTCAAGCGGCAACTTTTGCCTCACGGGAGGCAACACGCGGCCGGGACAGCCGAGACGAGTTACGTGCGACGTATAACGGAAGCGTGTACGTGTCCGGTGAGGAACATTTCCTCGTCGGGGAAGATCGAGCACGTGGGAGGAGGATGGACGCGCGCGGACGGACTTCACGCGTGCACGGGGGAGGGTTAATGCGTGTTTCCGTCGGCGAGCATGTCGCACGAGTGTGTGCACATGTATGTGTGTGTGTGTGTACACTGTCGCGACGCCTCACGCTACTAATTGATGCCGGTTGACGGACAGAAGAACGGCGGGGGGACACGAGCGGACTGGCGGGACGCTTCCGCAGGGTGCACTCCTCTTCCGCCTCACAAAAGCCTTCGACGACTTCGCCTACCTTCCGCCTTACGAGCTCGCCTAGGCGCGCTCGACAACAATGGACATGCCACTGGGAAGAATGTCGGAGCATGCCTCCGCAACAATGCGCGAACAATGCCGCGTAACGACTCTCTCTCTCTCTCTCTCTCTCTCTCTCTCGCTGTCTCTCGCTTTCGCTCTCTCTCTCTGTCTCTATGCGCGAAAGCGCAAATTGGCGTCGCGAGTCACGGGGGGAGGGAGAGACCCGACTACGCGCGAGCTTGTCTCGCGAATAGTATTCGCGGCTATTTCCAACAGGCGCTCGTATAGTCATCGCGTTTCCTCGAACAACTCGGCAGCTTAAAATGTCATTCGCGTCTTCGTTAATAGTAAATCGCACGAGGCAATCAGGGAGAATCGCTTCTTCGAGTGCTCGCGTCGCCTAGCTGTCTCAGGGGTATCGAACAGACGGAGCTTATCCTCGCGAGTGGTTCGCCAAATTGGCGCGGAGAATCCTAATTAGACGGTCCTCGCGGCTTCCGGTTCCTCATTGCGCCCGCACGACAGCTTCTCGTCGAGTCGCTTGCGTTTCGCGCGAGAGTCTCTTCCTCCTAAATGGTGAGATTAACGTGGGCGAAGGAGGAGAGCGATCGAGAGGATCGCGCATACAATGGACAGGTAACAACCGCGCTCGCGAGCGAAGGAGGAGCGACAAGGAGAGCTCCTCCGGCGGCAAGCCCGACGAGAGGAGACGTTATTCCGCGAGCTGCCGCGGCGCGCGAGTTCGGCGCAGGGGGGAGGTTAGGATCGTGTTCCGCAAGGGAGCACGTGAAAAGGAGTAATTCCACGTGCGCGACCACGTCCAGCCGGGTAAGTTGGCGACGCGGGCCGAGTCATCCGCGCGGCATTAAGACGCGTCGGAGGACGAGAACGAGAGAAGGAGAGACAGAGAAAAAGGAGAAGGATCAGAGGAGCACAGGCCGCCGAGGCGACGAGGAGCGAGAAGAAGGCGGAGAGGGGTTCGCCGCGACAGCTGGATGGGCTTCTTCCAGGATCGACCTTCCACTCCAGTAATGAGAAAATCACAAAAGACCTGTCACTTCAATGGGTCTCCGGTATCCGTCGCGCGTCTCTCGCTCTCGATCTTTCTCTCCATCTGCCCCCTCTGTTCCTTTCCGAGTCCTTTCGCTCAACTACCTAGCAGCTCGAAAATCTACTAAGGCTACTGGCCTACATCGGCGGATTCTGTCCGGCAGGCTTATTATCGAATTTATCCCGCAGAGAGAGGAAGCATAATACGCGCATTGTCGCGCGCGCACGCTTTCCGGCTGATTAATCAACCGAGCTCCCGTTGTGCCGTTGTGAGATTATTACAGGCTTCTTCGAAAGGAGTCGATACGCTCGCGTGCGCCCATGGACGAGCTCTCTTTCCCTCCTGCTCCGAAGAAGAGAGCGACCTTCGCTCGCGAATGCGCGTACGAGAGCGAATTGAATGCCGCGAGCCGAGCACACGGAATCGAATTCGAGGCGCGCTGCAAGTAAGTCTCCGCGAAATAAGTCTCAGGAATGCATCGCGTCCGCCGCACACTTTCATCTCGCTTGTCTCGTTGTCCTGCCGTTGGATCAGACGAGGCCGTCCGCGTCCACGTTCGCTCCTCGGTGTCGAAGACGACGGCTGCGGCAACGGCAAGAGGGTCCCCTCGCGCGCGCGCGAGGGGCGGAATCACCCCTGGCAGAATTTTGCGGAATGATCCGACCTCGCTTAATGACGCCGGCGAAAAAGCGCTTAGTGGGTCGATTTATTCAGGGACACGTAGCGGCCGTTAATGCAAGATAGCGCTGGCTGATCGTAGACGGCGATACCAAGAGATTTAAGTATCGGCTGACTGCGCGGTTTCCAAGGTTTTCCTTCGCCGCGCACGGCCGGTTTAGCCGCCTTTCCAAACGGTTTATTTACCCGTCTCGCCGAGTCTCTCTCGTTTGCATACGTAGGCGCGTGCGAGGACGGCCGCTTTCGACTTTTTCAAGGAAATTTGCCGGCCCCTTCCCCACTCCCCCCGTTGTCCGCCCGCCCACGTTATCGCATTTGCGCGCACGCGCACGCGTTCGACGCGAGCGGCTCGATATGATCGAGCGAACGTTTGACGGGGGTGTCGTGAGAGAGAACGAAATCGAGGGCTGAACGACCCGGCCCCGCCAAGGAGGAAGGCAAGGGTGGACCTTGAAATTTTTTACCACGCTCCGTCGCCGACACTCTCGTATTGTTCTTTAACCTTCAGAGGACTGGGGTGGCTCCTATAGGAGCCACTAAGAAAACAAACTCGAAAACTCTACGCGATACATGATGGTTACATATATATATATATATATATATATATATATAAATTTCCCGCGAAAAAAATTGCAAATTTTAAAGG